TTTCCAAAGTATCACTAAATTGTTTCTGGATGACATTTTCAAAGAGTTTTTCTAAAAGCCAAAGGCATTTTACAGAGCATCTGTTTCATGAATCAGTTCTTTTTTTTCCTCTGCTGTTCCATAACTTTCCCAAATGTCACAGGATAATAACTGCTGTGCAAATCAGCAATACTGAAGTCTGGAAAATAGCCTACAAGAATAGCTGTGCGTTTTTATTTTATATTAAACAAAATGCCTAGTCATTTTTCTTGCATACCAACTAATTCAAAATCCCCAGACACTGCTGGTGTACCCTTTTTTAGAGCAAAAGCCTGAAGTGCTCTCTCCTTTTTCTCCACGCTTCTTTGCTGAGACTGGTAAGAGAAATAAATTCAGACAAAGGACTCAAAGCTTCCACAGGCATGAGATCCGTTTCCTTATGTGTGTTATATTATGCCAAAGATTTCAATGAATGGCACATGTACCTGAACCTCCAAAGACAACCAAGGCTTTAAAAGGAGAATGACTTGGAAATGGAGGATGGTTTGAAATTCTCAAAGCAATCCGAGTGGTTTACATAGACATCTCGATGAAATTTAACAAATGCGCTTAAATCTTCTAGGAAAAGAATCTCAGCAATAAAGCAGAGACATGCTCTCTCCCTTCCCTTATTCCACCCATCATTTATGCATTTGCCCAAAGCAAGCAGGTTGTCCTGCACCTTTAAACATAGCAGGTGCCTATTGTAATTTCTGCCCCATTTACCAGGTCACTGCTGGATTACATAATACCATAGGAAGAGCAGAAGCAAGTCAGTCACACCAGAAGTCCTTCGAGCCCAACATCCTGTCTCCAACAGCAGTGTCTTTAGGCTGGGATCAGGTGTGACATGGGATCAGGTGTGACATCTCTTTTTATTGGTGCAACACCTGATATATCCTCAGTGTGAAGACTTCATATTAAATAGGGTTGTGAGATACACTAGGAGCTCACTCCACACATCAAACTGGTGTTTTAACTTCAGAAATGGTGGATACAACTCCCCTACCAAAAAACCCCCAAACCCAGAAACGATAAGCAGACACCTAGAAAACAGTAACAACAGAGCAAGCATGTAGCAGTACATTAAAACAGAGTTTTAAGCCCCTCGCTTCCTTTTGCCACTGTCCCCTGTCCAGAGCGCACAGCATATGCCTTCTACAAAGTGTGTACCTAAACACAGATACAAGTAAGACACACTGGCAAGTTCCTATGACCAAAGCTTGCAGAGCCATGAAGCAGAAGTGGTGGGTGTCAAGTATTTCTGCTAACACAAGACAGCACAGTCTTAGCTAGGTCGAGACCTGGCTGGCAGGTGGTTATTTCAGTGAAGGACTGCAAGACCTCAATTTCCTTTTCTCAGGAAATCATGTAGCGGTTTTGCCAGGATGTTTTAACGCATGTTGGACTCCTGGCAGCCTTTAAATAACTAAAAACTAGGACCCAGCATTAGCACCTCAGGCTTTCTTTTTTCTTCCTTCTTCCTACCTGGAAGATCCCTGAACATGCCTCAGTCTCTCCTTTCCTACCCTGCTCCATGCTGTTGAGGATACCACGCACAGCAGTGCTTTACTCAGATAACATGAGAAACCACATACAGAAATACCTGGAAATTACACAGCAAGAAGTTGCTGCCACACAACGTGATGGAAAACACAGTCAGTTCTAAATCCCAACGTGGAACAGATTATCTGAAAAATAGTGACACAAACCTACATCTTGGAGTTCTTATTTGGGCAAGATATTCAGAGGCTTCAGATCAGAATTTTCTCTGAGTAAGAACAGCAGGCTGTGGCCCAGGAGTTGCTGAAGAAATTGTACACACTGAGAATTGGAAGATTCCCCTGAGAGTGATTCAGGATTGCTTAATGCATTACATAGTAAATATAATCTAAGATATTTAGACGGTATCTCTAGCAGCAGGCATTAGTTGGCTCAGGGGACTCTCAATTGGATACAAGTGCAGCTGGAGGTCCATGATGCCAGGGTATTAAAAAATAAGGCACTTGCAATTGCAGACAAGTTAATGCTTCAGTATCATTAATATGATATCAGTGAGGTGTGTGATTATGTGGAAAATCTGCCAATTCCAAACTGTTTGATACAGACATTCTACATCTTGTGAGGCTACAAACTCTACTTTTGAGTATGATGTTTGTCTTTGGTGTCTCCTGTCTTTTTTTAATTGCTCGAATGAAATTTCTGGGATAATGATGAAAGGTTGTAAAAACCTGATTATTCCTAATTAGGTTGAAATCCCCTGAGATATCACTGAGAGTAAAATATCTTCCTAGAGGGGAAGTAGCTGAAGAGATCAATTGGCCAGAGAAGCTGACCACTGGATGAGGCAGACTGGGAGGCATCATCTGACAAGGACACCAGGAGTCATAAAACAGAAGGGCTCTCACCTGCCGATGACAGGTAGTGGAAGGAAAACAGCCAAAGAGGACAATACACAGATACCAGGGACTTATGAAGAGGCTTCTTGCCTAATCCCATAAGATACTACAGAGACATAAAGAAACAGAAATTCAAACAGCTTCTTGATCAACTTTGGCTCAATCTAGGTATTTCTTCTGATAAGTAAAGAAAAAAGGTGATTGCTGTCATACTTTGTGCAATCTTGGTGTCCCAGAAGAGGAAAGAAAACCTGCAGCATCCAGCAAAGCAGAGGCTCTGGGGGAGCAGAGGCAGCCAGACTGCAAGCCTGATTTCTCTGAAGGTTCACTAATAGAAACCCCATGCTGCAAGTCTTCCTTCTCCTTAAGGTTTTATTCCAGCACTGAGATGCTTTTCATTAAATCTTCTCAGCTTCCCCCTCCTTGTAAGACTGCTGGTCCCAGGAATACCTCTCCTGGTCTGGATCCCACTGAGGTTTCTTTCCTGTCCAGAGTGACCTGTTTTCTCACAATGGGTTGGCATTTAATAACTCTTAGACCTCCCTGCTTCACCAGTATGGATTCAGAGCTACAGGAGGAGACAAACAGGGTGAATGTGCAAGCTCCCCTGAAGGACAAGAGCTTAAAAGGAAGATTCAAGCAGTATGTATCGCTGCCAGGATTTTTAAAGCATGGCAAACTGGACTAGCAGATGTCATCAACTGAATAGCTGAATCATTGGCTGGCAAAGTACAAAATCGGCTTTTGACAAAACTAGCCTTTTCTGAAAATGTGGCATTTCTTCTTCATCTCAAAAAATGTAACTAGTTCATTCAAAGCCAAGTCACAAACTGGGAGCTGAAAAACCATGAAAGCCAGTTTTTCCCTCTCCAATCTATAAATGAAAAGGTAGATGCTAAAGAATGACATGTGCTAATCTCTCAGTTTCTGAAGGAGCTGACAACCAGTGGGGGTGGCAGGAGGAGGAAAAAACTACCGCTTAATTCTTTTGTTAAATAAAGCATTTTGATTTTTGAATGTAAATCTATTTTAATTTTTTTCCTTGATGTATCTATCACTTTAAGATAGTTTTAACTTCAAAAATGTAAATGAAGACTCTGAGGCTTTAAATGCAGATTTATTTCTTCCAAATGCAAGCTGACACGTACTGCAAGTAAAATAAAAAAAGCCCCCTCCCA